TGAAAGACTTGGGTCATGCTAGAAGAATTTTAGGTATGGATATTAAGAGAAATAGGTCCTGATAGACTCTTTTTCTTTCACAATCTGACTATGTGGAAAAAGTGTTAACTAAATTTGCTATGCATGAATCTAAGTCTGTTACTTTACCACTTGCAAGTCATTTTAAATTGAGTAAAGATCAGTCCCATGTTGATGAATCTGATGTGAAATATATGCAAAATGTCCCTCATGCTAATGCTGTGGGGTCGGTGATGTACACTATGGTGTGCACCAGACCTGATGTTGCTCACGCTATCAATACCTTAAGTAGAGTTATGGCCAATCCTGGCCCTGAACATTGGACTGCCTTAAAATGGCTACTTAGATATTTAAAGGGGTCCTCTAATTTGGGTTTATGTTTTACTCCCTGTAAAGAAGGTATTGTGTTAAAGGATTTTGTTGATTCTGATTATACAGGGGATAGAGGCAATAGAAAATCAGCCACATCTTACATGTTTACTTTGTGTGGCACTTGTGTGATTTGGAAATCACAATTACAATCAATTGTTGCATTATCTACCACTGAAGTAGAATATGTGGCTGCCACTGAAGTGATAAAAGAAGCATTATGGCTTAAAGGTTTGTTATGTGAATTAAATGTTCTTTCACATCCAGTAGTTGTATACTCAGATAGTCAAAGTGTCATTCATCTATGCAAAAACCCTGTTTTTCATGAAAAGACAAAACATATAGAAGTTAGAATGCATTTTATTCGTGACATTATTCATAATAATTCTGTAGTACTTGAAAAAAATACCTAGTGAATTCAATCCAGCTGATATGGGAACTAAGGTACTCCCTCTTAAGAAGTTTAAATCTTATTTGAAAATTCTGAAGATTGATACTGGGTAATTCTGTGTGGATTGCAGGTGCTGTTTGGTCCATCTTGATGCAGTGAACTAAGGAACCTGAATAAAGGATATGCTAGAGTTATTATTTTTCCTGTGTGATGAGTCCTGTTTGAGTCATTGGCATCAAGGTGGAGAGTGTTTGAGTTGTGATGCCAATTTTGGCATTATAACTCAAACATTGGGCTATGATGAAATTGGGTTCAGGCCTAATTATTTAGATACTACACTCCATCGCCCGATAACACATTTGGTGAGCCCAAGAACCCGAGCCCAACTAGAGGCCATGTGTGCTGCTCCAGGACTATTAGATCCCTCTAATTAAATCTACGGTTAGATGGCCTTTATATAAATAGCGTGTCTTAAGGGTTGCCCTTGGCTAAGCATTTTATTTTCTGCCATCTCTTGAACTCTTTAGAAACCATAGACTTTCTGGTTGCTTTCTCCTTCGTCTTCTTCGAGTTCCCTTTGAAATCTTCTGTGATTTGGGGTTATTTTTTTGTGTGACTGAGTGAATCTAATTGATTCTTTGTGAAGTGAGAGGGTTGATATATGTTCTGGGGGTTTTTATTCGGTCTTGTTGAAGTAGCTGCATTTGGTGTTTCTCGTGTGGGATTCTTGGGGTTTTCTTGGGTGTTTTATCGATGTACAGAAGGGTTCAATGAATTTTCTGAGCCCATGAGTCGATGACATCTTGTGTCAATGTTCGATTTTAGTCTGTAATATTTTACTGTGATTTTTCGATTATACTTTGTGTATTCTTGAGTTCTTGACATAATGCCCACACTAATCTCTGACTTTTATCTCAAATGGACGATACATAAATGGACCAAATGGCTAAATCTACATAAACATATCACACGCTTAACGTTTTTGGATTGGGTGCAAGAGACACATATGGGTTTCTTTACCTGGTGAAATTCTCATAAAGGAGATCGAAAAAGCATGATGTGATGTTGAAAGTATTTTATGTCACGATTTGACAGACTTAAGGTGTGTGTGCATTGTGATAATATTGTATCCCATTGTGCCTAACTTGTTGCCAGAAGTGAAGCTTTTTAAATGTTGTTTTGCCACAACCACATGCCATTGAAGTCACACTTAAAAAAGGAGCCAATTAAGCAATTGTGATTAGAAAAAGCTCTCTCACTTGCTAGCTTCCAATCTTCCTAACTTCTTACTTCATGCCATTGTAAGACTCCTTTAGTGCAAGTAGGAAGAAGGCAACTAGATACCCTCAGGAATCACACATCAGTTGAATATCACAACATATTACTAGGTGGACATCATTCCCATTAATTATATCAATATTATGATGGACCATTCCAATTGATATGAATTTTGCTAATTTTACAACCGTGGTTGACAATCCTTGTTGATAACATACTCACAAAAGGGAGGGCCCAAGTTTTTTTTTTTAATTTATCGTGGGCTTCCCTCTCATGTATGTGGTTGCTAACGGGGATTGTCAATCTCTATTGCACATGTAGCATGCTTGAATTGATGATTTGATAGTGACATAGCAATAATTGATACGGAACTTTTATAATTAGTTTTTATCTTATACTATTTACCATTTTTCTTTTGATAATTTTCAAACAAAAACAAAAGAAAAAAAGAATATGAGAAAGGAAGAATCTATCCATCAGATGGCCACCTAATGGCCGCAATTTTTTATTCGTTCCGTGTGCAAAAGGAATTCGGATCTCTCGAGCTTGGGATTTGATTAGTAGGTTTGGCCAATAGCCGTGAATATTATATAGAAGCAGCAACTTGATGATGACAAATATATGAATTCTATAAATTCAATTACACTTTTAAATTTTAAACGAATTGAATTATTCGTTTAAACTTTTTGTTTTCTGAAATTTGAATTTTTAAAAATTTTATTCTTATTAAAAAAAAAAAGGCTAAACTCATATTATTATTATTATTAAAAAAACCAGAGATTCCATCCAATACATTTTTGAATTGAAATGCATAAATCTCTTTTATAAATCATTTGATATTTATATAGTTGGATTATATGTAAATGGGAGTACCTAATATTTATATAGTTGGAGCTAACTAGATTTTGGTTGAACTAATCAATCTAAAACGTTATTAATTGGCAATTTGCTGATTAATTAAAATATGTACACACTTCACATATCAAGTAAGATCATGTGAGGATTTTAAGGGGACAGATCCATTATTTTATTTACAACATGAAACAAACCTAAATATTTAATTAATTAATTACTACAAAACATACGTAAGAATTTCAGGAAATAAATATTATGGGTTCCAATTCACGAAGACGTTACGTGACGACCAAAAATCCCGTAACATGTTGCTCTCAGCTCGTATTAATTTTCAATTTCTATAACAAATTTTCTTGGTTTTGACTTGGTCAAATTTTGAGTTATTTAGATTTTGAATTATTTTATATTCTTTTAGTATGATCACATGTTTCCATAAAACACTCAGTTCGCATCACTTTTTGTCTTATCATATGGTATAGCATCAAGTGGAAGAATGGAAGTGGGCATTAATACATACCGTATATAAATACTATAAAAAAAATCTCTTTAATATTCGTACAATTTTTTAAGAGAGATGCTCCCTATCTCGAGTTGGGGATAGGGTTAAAAACATATGGCACCCCCTATTGGAGGGGCACCTGTGCCCCTCATGGTGCCCCTCCATGGGGCTCTCCTGTTTTTAACTCAGGTGCTCTTTCATGTGGTGCTCCTGTTTTTAACCCTATCCCCAACTTAGGATAGGAAGATTTATTCATTTTTTAAATTAACATTGAATAAAGGGAGAAGTGACCAGGCGGTAGTGGTGGCTGCAAGCGGCGGTAACCACAGTCTTAAAATGTGTAAATGAAAATATTTATAAATATGAGTCAAATATTTCTTTAATATGTTATTAAAGATTTTATTAATAATAAGTGTTAACATATAATTTTTTTTTTATCTATATTATCGTGATAGGCGAAATTTTTTCAATGAAATTTTTTTCAACTCTCTTTTTAATTGTTTCTACAATGCTTTGAACAAATCATTTGTATAGTTGAAACTAACTCCATAAATAAGGTTTCTAATTTTTGGCATAAAAATTATATAAGTTTTTTAAGTTTTTTCAATGTTAACAAACATATTATAGTTTAATGAATCCTTCAAGTGGAGAGGATCAACGTCCCAACATTATAAGAACCTAAATTCAATCGTCAATCACGCTATACATGATAATTTGCCATGCTTTCGTTGTTTAATTATATATATTTTGGGCTTAGATGAAATAAAAGGTCGAAGAAAGACAATTCATCAGTTTGAGCACGTTTGAGCCACATTTTGTCTAAGAATACATTTTGGAATAGTAAATTGATGAAAAATATATAATTAAAAAAAACAAAAATATTTTGAATTTGCATTAATATTATTTTATTAAAAAATGTGTGATTAAAAAGAATAAATAAAAATATGTATTTTGAGAATAATAGAAATCAAACAAGAGCTTTATAAAACTTGCCATCATAAAATGAAAAAGTCAAATTATATTGAAACTAATGAGTGAAACAACTTCTTAAATAAAATTGAATTCTTCGTGAAATTTTTTGGCCAGGCCATTAATACTCCGTGCACCTTATTTATACGCGACAACATTGATTGAATATGTAGCATAGGTGGGAGCACCACGGACCAATCCTAAAAGATCACTTTTTGGCTAAATGCTCTATTAATTCATTACATTATAATTTTCTCTATTTTTGAAATATTTATACAATGAAGGGACGCCATAATGAATATTCCAGACACTTGTTAAAATTAAAAAGGCAAGAATCAAAGCATATAATTTTTCTGTTTAATATTCGAATAATCTTTTAGACTGAAAAAAAATTAAATGAATTAAGTAAGAAATGAACCGGCCGCAGGTGGTGGCTGCATGCGGCGGTCTGAATCTATCTTGTCCTTGTTAACCATCTTTTAAAGCTACCTTAATTAGCCTAACCACCTATTACTTTATTCCCTTTTCCTTTTCACTTATTTTTTCTTATTTTTTTTTTCCTCATAATTTTCCATTTAATCTGATAATTTCCTGAATCATTTTTTCCTTACATCCTTTTCTTCATTTCACACTCAACATCAAACTGGCCAACCATTCTCTTTCTCTATATACATATCTATCTCTATCCATCTGTGTATTTGAGTTTGACCCGTCGCCACCTACCGGCAGCTTCCTAGCTCTCCTCCAATGGCGGCCCCACCGCCTCAGTTCTCTAAAGTGGATCTTTTCTATGTGAAAACGTAAACTCAACTCTGCCTCTCTTTTAGAGCCTCCCTCGAAAGCTTATTTATTCTTCTTCTTCTCTTCTTTCTTCTTTTTTCTTTCTCCTCTTTCACAAACCCTAGTTCGGCGACACACGTGGATTAAGCAGAAATAGAAAAGGAAAAGGTTTCCAGGACCAGGAAAATTTGTCTTTTATGCCTTTTTCATGCATTTCTTGGGTTGTTTTTCACTGATCTCGTAATTGGTATGTTCAGATTCTCCCTTTTCATTTGTTTATAGGTTTTATTAGAGTTAAGTTTATATTTTTGCTTCTTCCATTTTTTTATTTTTTTTTTGGGTCTGGTTAGAGAGTTATGGATTCTGGTAACAGCGGTAGTTTGCAATCGTCGAGTGGAGGTGAAGACGAATATGATTCACGGGGTGAGTCGATTTCGTCTTTTTTGAATCCCGGCGGCCATTTTGGTTCAATATCAGGCCAACAGCCACCGTTTATGTCCCAACAGAACAATTTCTTCGATCCTCGTTCGAACCTTGATGCATTTATCCAACAGTCATCGGCTAATCCAAATGCGAATACTCAATACAATAATGATCTTGTTTGGACCAGAAGTTTAAGATCTGATCAATCCAATTATGGCCACTTTGGAAACTTAACAGGATCATCATCAAGAACCCAGAATCTTGTGAATTCCCAAGGACCAAACAGTACACAGCAGGGCCCGGGCCAGGGCCAGGGCCAGTTCCCAACCGCACAATCCGTACAGTTGACAGCACATGCCGGTTCAGAACAATTTGATCAACAACCCAACAGTGCAATCAAGAATCCTAAGAAACGGCCAAGAGCTTCACGGCGGGCGCCCACGACGGTGCTGACGACTGACACCACAAATTTCAGGCAAATGGTGCAGGAATTTACGGGCATCCCGGCAGCTCCATTTTCAGGTCCACCGTATTCACGGCGGCTTGATCTCCTCTCCACTGCGAGGTCCGGTCATTTGGGCACACTTGGATCCCTGTATCCTCTTCGACCCTCAACCCAAAAGGTACAACCATCGCCATTTCTGCCATCATCTTCTTCTCCCTTGTTCAACTCTAATATGATTGATGCTATAGTGTCCAGTACTAATATTTCGACTGCAAATGTTGGCTCTTTGAATTCGAATAATTTCCAACTACCCTCTGATCTTGGATTGATTCCAAAACAACCCCACAACTTATTGAATTTTCAAAATCAGACTCTTCAACTTCAGCCTCTCCTGCATTCTCCTTCACTTAAGAATCAGTTAGGACAGGCTTTTGGTACTTTGGAAATGAGCCATGATCGACAAGTTGAAGGTAATCTCAGTGGGTTTTCAAATTTAGAAAGTACTTCTGCTGGTGCTCAAGGAAGGACTGAAGGGAATATACAAGAAAATATAAGAACTTTTGGTGGAAATATTACTTCAGAATTTCATTCCGATAAAGTACTTGAAAATGTTTCTTCAGCTGCTGATGGTACGGTGAGTTCATGGATTTGCCCTTCCGATTAAATATTTTGTAGTGTAATCAAGAATCACAATTACAATACACAATGAATATTTTGTTTTTGCCTATGGAATGCATGTACTCCATCTTAATTAGGGGATAACTTATTGAAAGTAACTTTTTTGAGTTTTAATTTCCTGTATTATTTTCATCATCTTGCTAGTAAAGAATCCACTGTGAATTATTTCCAGATAATGTTCTTGTGGTACTATGATTAATTAAATTGTGTAAGAACTTTGCTAGATTTCATCAGTAAAAATACTTGAGTATTTCCAAATAAAGTTCACAAATGTTAGTACTTATATGGTAGACAGTATCGGAAAACGGAACACATATCAATGTCAATGTCCTGGTTAATATTGGAATTAGTCTCAAGTTACAAACGGTTCATTTGCTTGTGGAAAATACTAAGCCGCTATTACCCAAATTTATAAGTTATTTACAAACTGACAAACTTCATCATGTGACTTGCTGATAACTTTAATATACAGAAAATTGTTGGGTCATTTTCTTTTGTATACTTTTTTGTTTCAATATTTTTATCCTTTGAAGCAAAACTTATTTCTGAAAAGTCCAAAAGAATATTAAAAAAATCCTAACCTTTGCATGAGTAAATTTCAAATACCAATCATCGATCATTGTATGTGATTAAAAAAATTATAATGAACTTATTAATTTATTAATGTTGTGAAGCTTTGTCATTAACTAAGGCAAACTGAAAAATGTAGTGAAAATAAAATGTGCTAAGCTCGTGATCCAAACATTTCATATGTCCCAATAAATAAATAAATATATATATATATATATATATATAAGATTTCTATAATATTTCATATCTATATATCTAAATTCTTTTTCACTATTTTCATCTAAAATATTAATTTCGTCTTCACTTTCATAGTCCTCTATTTCAAAATATCTACATTCTCCTTTCTTCCTCATTATGCTGTGTCTGTTCTACTTGAAAATTATAATTTCCAAATCTAATACTTAAAGTTCCATCACTATTTTTGTACATAATATTATTTTTTGGTACTAATATTGATTTTTGTAGAAAGTTTTTTAAGTTCCAATCTAATCTTGCATATGTTTTTGAAGAGAATTTCTTTGCTGAAATAGTCTTTATACACTTTTGTTCTAGTAATGTAATGATTTGATTATTTTCTAATTTATAATTAGTAGTAAAATATATTAAAGATTGAAATAATTTCAGTCATTGCCCCCACACAGATCGTAGTACAGCTCGGCTATTAAGCTAATCTATTTTCTGGATTTAACTGCAAGGTGGTAAGCTGTTTTCAACCTAAATAGGCAACACGTAGTGGCCATTTGTTCACTTGCAATGACGTTTTTGCCCTTGCAAGATAAGGAAAATGAAAAACGATAGTTAAGCATTTGATTGGAAAAATTAATAGTAACATAAAAATTACTTTTATAGTTTTATTGTCCGGTCAAAGTTAAAATTTAATTTTAACCACACATTCTAATTTATTACTCTTTAGTCATTACCATCCTCTTGATTCTAACTATTTTTCTTCTTGGAAAGTTAATAAAAAGTTTTTAATAATCAAAATCGAATAGAGATTAAAATTTCAACACATTTGAATGTCATTAAAAGCAACTTCTTGTTAATTTTTCAAAGGTTCACATGTTAGTGTTGTTGGGAAGCACATCCAAATATTACATGTGTACTTCGAAAAGTTCAATCAAAAATCCATCTTAAACAATTGGGATTTTTTTTTTTTTTGAAGTGACATTTTTACTCCTACAAAGTAAGAATGTTATTGGGTCGATTTCATTTCTAGTCTCTCAACTTATAGTGTGGGTTGTTCAAATCTCTAACTTCGGGTCCTTAACTTTGATTTTCTCGCAACAAGATGGACTCTTTTTCACACATAAGAAAAAATGAAGAAGGTAAATTGGAATATAGAGTTAATTAACTTGAGAAAAAAATACTGCCAAATTGTGGGGTGGTGAAATGATTAAAAATAAGATTTGGGAAATTGATGTGAAAATGAGTGGTGTAATAATTCAAATGAACACATAATGATAAAATTAAACATAGTTGGGGGTAAAAAACAAGATGATTATAAGAGATGGGATTTGAGTAGATTTTGGTAGCTGTTTGATAGGATGGTGATGACATGTGACACAGTATATAAAATCATGGTGGGACCCTTACAAGAGAATAAACTGGTAAATTGCAATCATGAATGTTCCTCTCTTCTCAATCAAATCTATACATTTAATATCCCATGTCTCTTGCCATCCGCAGCTCTATCCTGCCATGAATAAAGCCAAACAACTAGCAAGAATGACAGTATCGATGACCGCGCACTCAAATGGATGTGCAGTTCCGTGTAAATAAAATAATGTCCGATGTGCGGTTCCGTGTAAGTAAAATAATGTCCGATCTTATGTGCGTGCATGCGGTCATCCCTGATATCAAACCCAATATTTGTGTAGCGTGATTAGACACCCCCCTCAAACCACTCCACACCTGGCCATTGTTTGAGCTCCATTTTAGAGGAAAAAAATAAATTTTTAAATAGTGTATTAATGAAAAATGTGTGATTAAAAATTAAAGAAAAGTTTTAAATTTACACATAATATTATTTTATTAAAAATGTGTGGTTGAAATGATATCAAAATACTATTGAAAAATGATTTTTTCTAATTAATGGGGCTCAAACAAGCTATTAATTCGTTTTACTGTATTAAATAAGTGATAATACTTGTAAATATGCATGGATAAAAAAATGATTTGAGTATTTATAAATTAATTATACTCATGAGATAAACATCCACTTGATAGATAAGTTGTACATGTAAATTGATCGATCAATTAGCCTATTTGGGCGTAACGATGATTAACCACTCTTTCATACTTATTCGGATAAATTTTGAAATAAAATGAAAGAATAACATCTTAGAATAAAAAAGTATGCCTATCAAACAAGACCATGTTTAAGCTTCATTAATTTCTTGTAGTGTATTATGAAATAGTAAATTGATGGAAAATGTATGATTAAAAAAATGAAAAAAAAATGATTTGCATGTAATATTATTTTAATGAAAAATGTGTGATTGAAAATAAATAATGGAGAAAAAATAATGGAAAGGAAAGAGAAAAAATGAAATTCAAACAAGGCTCTAGTTTGATGACCTTATTTTTGTAGAGTCTTGAGAAGGATCAAATGCTCGATGTCTTGAATTACATGCCTTATGGGAATAGTTTTAGCCATCATTCCACGATATGGACGGCTAACGGCACGTTAGGGTTCCTAAGAATTATGTGCCAAGGCTCCATCAAACTTTTGTGGATTGGTTGGCAGACTGATTATGCACGTAAATGGGAAGTTTTTTACCTGATTATATTTAGAATCATGCTATGGGTACAATATTTTTCATAACAAGATTTACAAAGCACACACATATAAGGAGTGGGATCCACGATTAAAATAATCATGAATCCCATATTTGTGAGGAAGCTGTGAAAAAAATTGTGAGGAAAATGCTATACAATCAGTAGTTTCCTTATATTTATGAGATTGAAAATAGTCTTTTTCCCTCTTTGATACCTAGAGATGGCTGTTAAAATATCGATACCAAGATTAAAATTTTTGTCCCGTGTTGTTGACAACACAAGTGTTTATACCATTGCTCAATTTTAAATTACTAAAGCACGAAGAAGTTACTTTGAATGGAGACCGAACATGCTTATAATATGAGGGTATATTTAGATGTCACCTCAGGGATGAACCATTCTTAAGTGTTCTCAAACTCTTAAATTTGAATGAAATGTGTTGTGACAACATACCCCGAGCTAGTGGTCCACATATATTACCATTTTCAAAGTACACAATATGTTTTATTGAAAGCCAACTACAGAAAGCATCATAGTTGTGCAATTTCACATTATACTCGCAGCATGTTACATAAGCCGTGTTACTCGTATAACATGTTTAGCGTGTTTAAATGCCAAAAGAAGCATTAGTCAAGTTGATTGGCTATTTTGCCCAATGTCTAAGTCAAGCATATTATTATTATTATTATTATTATTATTATTATTATTATTATTATTATTATTGATTAATACCATTCTTTCATAGACAAATCTCAATTAATGCGATTTACTCAAGCACTCAAAACGCATAAAATTAAAAGTTTTTCAAAAAAAATAATAAGCAAAATTAAATCAAATCTCTCCGTTTATTTTTTTTTCCTCTTTTCTATTTTCTATTTTCTGTCAATTTATTTATTTTTAAAATTTTTCCTCATTTTAAAATTTTTCATTTTTTGCTGTGTAGACAAATACTGATTGTTAAACCATCTACTTAATATGTTAGACAGGTAGGAATGTGCCCAAAGGCCAAGCCGTGAAGATAGGATGCCAGTTTTTTTCATTACTTTTCAGAATTGACTTATCAAAAGTAACGTAGATCAGTCTTCGAAGACACAATTGTCTTTGCTTAGACCAATGGTTTCGAGAAATCCGAAGAACAAATTTAGAATTTTTGGCAATTACATTTTCAGTTTTGGCTGCTTTGTTCCCAATAAAATCAATAAAATTTCACGACCAGACATAATCACGTAAGCAAGCTTGTTACACAAAGCAAAGATTGCTCAAAAGTCAGCATGACATTCATCGACTGGACATTCTTTTTTTTGTCTAGCGTGATTAGAGTAAAGAATTGAGCCAGAGCCGGGCTAGATAGTTGCCAAGGCAAAGAGTTCAATTCTAACATGATTAATACCTAATGTTTTGACCTAGCTATAAAATTGTCAAGTTGAACCGTTTGATTGTCTTATCAATATATCTTTTTTTTCCACATAAGTACATTTCATATTCGAAAAGATATCAAAGTGCAGCGTGTCCAAGTGTAAAAAGAACAATTTGATGTACCGATTTGTCAAAAGAATAATGCAATTTCACATTTACTCCATAAGAAAAAAACGAATCTAGTTTGGTGCCTTTTTTGACAGAGATCTACCTTTGACCATATAATAAGTATTTTTGTCGAAATTTCTAAGGAAAGATGAAAATGTTTATGTTTTCCTTTCCATTTGATTACAAGGTTTGATTTCAGTACACAAGCTCCAAAAAATATATATTCTTGAGTAAATTTAGCTCATTTCGTGAAACGTATTTTAAATACTCGCTATTTACAAAAATTATATTCGGTCCAATAATA